CCTTGTGCTTGATCTTGCTCGTGTCCACCCACGTCAGCATGTCCTCCATCGCTCTCGTCACCAGAAACGCTGGGTCCCTCACGGCTTCCGGACCAATGCGCACATGGCCCTGGGGGAAACATCAAGAGGGGATGTGAGAAGGGGGAGAAGGGAATAAGGGGATCACCCATGTCAGCATGTCCTCCAGTGCTCTAGTCACCAGAAATGCTGGGTCCCTCACGGCTTCCGGACCAATGCGCACATGCCCCTGTGGGGAAACATGAAGAGGGGATGCGAGCAAGGGGAGAAGGGAATAAGGGGATCACCCATGTCAGCATGCCCTCCAGTGCTCTCGTCTCCAGAAAGGCCGGGTCCCTCACAGCTTCTGGGCCGATACGCACATGGCCCTGGCAAGGAGAGAAACAAAATATCAGGGCGAAAAGGAGGGGCTAAGACGGGAGCAACCACAAAGGCTGGGTCCCTCATGGCTTCTGGGCCGATGCGCACATGGCCCTGTGCGAAAGATCAAGGGAGAATGTGACAGATTGAGGGGGTTCAAGAAGGGTAAGACGGGAATAATGGATCAGACGAGAGGAACCAGAAAGGCCTGGTTCCCCACATGCCTATGGACACGCATACCCCCCCTCCTCCTTTCCTCCTACCTGCTGCATGAACGCCACTGCTTCTCTCATGCGCTCCACCATATTCGGTCTCACCATCACCACTGCTAGCCTTCTGTGACTGCACACCCACACGCTGATACATCTACAAACCTTGTCACACCTAGACACACCTGCAAACCTACTCATACCTATCCCACCTGCTGCAAGAACGAAACTGCCTCCCTCATGTGCTCCGCCATCTTCAGTCGCACCATCACCACTGCTGGCCTGCTGTGACCACACCCAGAGACACACACCAACACACCTGCACACCCCTGTTCATCCCTGCACACCTGCATACCCCTCCACACCCCTGCACACCCAAATAAACACATCTACTCCACCTGCTGCACGAACGCCACTCCCTTTCTCATGTGCTCCGCCATCTTCAGCGCTTCTTCGCACCATCACCACTGCTAGCCTTCTGTGACCGCACACCCACATGCTCATACACCTGCAAACCTTGTCACACCTAGACACACCTGCAAACCTACTCACACCAACGGCCCACCTGCTGCACGAACGCCACTCCCTCCCTCATGTGTTCCGCCATCTTCAATCGCACCATCACAACTGCTAGCCTTCTGTCACCGCACCACACACCTTCACACACAAACACCCACACCTGAACAACACTCGCTCAACCGCATCCAACCCCTCCCCACCTGCTGCACGAATGAAACTGCTTCTCTCATGTGCTCCGCCATCTTCAGCCTCACCATCACCACTGCTAGCCTTCGTCTGGAGGGAGATGAAACCCGGGAGAGATGAAACCCGAAAGAGATGAAACCCGGGAGAGATGAAAACCGAAAGAGATGAAACCCGGGAGAGATGAAACCCGAAAGAGATGAAACCCGGGAGAGATGAAACAACAGAGAGATAAAACATTTTCTGATACTCATTTGTGCAGGTCAGGAGCAAGGCCCTTATGCTTGGGACAGCGCGACTTATCAATAAATCGATCCTTGATAGAGCTTATGCCCACATTCAATCTCATCAAATAAACTCAATAACATTAGAAAACAAAAAAAACAAAGAATGGCTTACCTGCAAAATGAGGAGACGGAGAGCTTGTCGCAAAGGTTGAGGCTTTTCTGTGTGGGAATGACTCCCATGTTGTAGCTGGTGGGTTTCGGGAATGGGGGCAGAGGGGGGTAGGGTAATGAAAGAAGAGGAGAGGGGTTACAAAAAACTGTCTGGCCTTTCTGTGTGAGTGTAGACTCCCATGCTGTCGCTGCTGGGAGGGATTAAGGGATGCGGTGTGGTTTTTCTGTGCGGGAATGACTCCCATCTTGTAGCTGGTGGGTTATGGGATGGGGGCAGAGGGGTGTAGGGTATGGAAAGAAGAGAAGAGGGGTTACAAAAAACCGTCTGGTCTTTCTGTGTTTTGAGACGTCTGAAAACTATTTTAAGACATCTCAAAACTCGGTTATAGGATGGGGGCACAGAGGAGGGTAGGGTATGGAAAGAAGAGAGGAAGGGTAAAAAAAAATCGTCCGGCCTTTTGAGTCGACTCAGAAGAGGGGTTACAAGAAACAGTCTGGCCTTTCTGTGTGGATATAGACTCCCATGTTGTCACTGGTGGGGGGGAGGGGGGGAGAAAGAGAGGGGGAAGGGGTTAGGAGAGCAGCGGGAGTAGAGTAGATGAAAGAATTGTGTCTGACTCTTCTGTGTGGGTATTACTCCCATGCTGTACCTGGTGTTGTGGGGGGGAAAGTGTGTTTTTGAGATGTCTCAAAAATACACTTTCTACACATAGGTGAAAGGAATTGTGTCTGACTCTTCTGTATGGGTATTACTCCGAGGTGACTTTTGAGTCGACTCAAAAGTCACCAAGGTGAAATAGTTGTGTCTGACTCTCCTGTGTGGGTATTACTCCCATGTTGTACCTGGTGTTGTGGGGGGGACAAAGAAAGAGAGGAAATACAGTGACAGTGTTGAAGGAGGAAAAAGAGAGGGGCACTGTCTGGCTTGTCTGTGTGGGTATGACTCTCAGAGCTTGCTAAGCAGCTGGCCAGTCAATTCGATCCGGAAGGGTTGGAGGGGAAAGAAGAGAAGTGGGAAAAAAAGGAGAGCAGAGGAAGAAGGGAAAGCGCTACCAAAGCTTGTTAAGAAGCTGGTCAGTCATTTCGATGCGGAAGCGTTGGAGGGAAAAGAAGAGAAGTGGGAAAAGGAGAGCAGAGGAAGAAGGCAAAGCGCTACCAAAGCTTGTTAAGCAGCTGGTCAGTCATTTCGATCCGGAAGGGGTCGGAGGGAAAGAAGAGAAGTGGGGGAACGGGAGGAGAGAGCAGAAGGGAATGTGCCACTCACAGCTTGTTAAGAAGCTGGTCAGTGATTCGATGCGGAAGGGGTCGGAGGGATCCAGTTTTTTTAGGGACAACTCAGTACCAAAGGAAAAATGTAGAACAGAGGAGGGAAAAAGAGGAGAGAGGGAAGGGAGACCTCTACTCACAGTTTGTTGATCAGCTGGTCGGTCATTTCGATGCGGAAGGGGTCGGAGGGATCCAGTTTCTTGAGCAGCGCTGTCAGCTTCGTGATTTTACCGCACAGCCGGTTGTACCTGTGGACTCGATACAAGCACAAGCACAAGCACAAGCACACGCACAAGCAAAGCACACGCAGGAGAGCGCACAGGAACACCATGCACTTGTGAGAATTTCATGTACCTTTTGCCTTCTCACAGTAAAACCCTGCTCTGCAAACATACATGAACTTGGTTTCTCGTGTTGAGGCGCCTCAAAACTCAAAACGAGCCGCCTCAAAACTAGACTTCTCAAAGTAAAACCCTGCTCCGCAGACATACATGAACTTGGTTTCTCCCCCATCCCCACTCCCTCCCCATATGTGACTGACTCATAACCAGCCCGTGCGTAAATGTTTCCGCAAAGCCACCCCACATGATCCCCAAGCTCCCCACTCTTCTTCTCCTTCCTATCTTCCTTCCCAGCACCCCCTTACCTCAAAACCCCATCCCGCCTCAAAACCCTGCCCCGCGAATTCCATAATTTAATACTTAACACACACCGCGCTCAACCGGATTGCGGAAACTTATGATTAACAGGCATCCCCCCATCCACACCATCCCCTATCCCCAACAAACCCCCATCCGCAATCTCCTCCCGAATCCCCCCTCCCGCGTCCTGTAACACTACCTCATGCTGGTAACCCTACTTGGAGTAATCGTCGCGTTCGGTGATGTGGTATCTTCGCATGACCTCCAGCTCTCGATCGTTGCCCTCAGTTTTCCATTGCAGGAAATTCACCTTCCGCAGCAACCGCTGCTCATGATACTTCAATTTTCTCATAACGGCTAGTTTCTAAAAGTGCTCGCAATATAACGACAGAAGCTCTGGCTCGTTATAGCCTTGTGATTTTCCAGATGCTTAGTGGAACCCTAGCTGCGCTTGAAGCCGCTAATTACGCCTGACACTACGAATAACTACGCCTCGTATCAACAAGGCGAAAGTCCTCAATGGATTGGGAAAGCGGAAGGACGAAGGGGTGATTCAATGAACGCAAATGTGAACTCAGAGAGTCAGACACCCGTAGACCCAGAGACAAAATCACTTAGTTGTCAGGGAACGAGAACGGCAACAAGAGCAGTTTTTGTCAGGGACAACTTCAGAGTGACATTTCTATCTGGGCTTTCTGTACGGTCAAGTGCGGTGACAAAGTGTTTTGAAAGTAGCGGGGACAGATAACATGGGGTATGGGCGAAAATCACAGAGTTAGAATTGATGGAAAGCGAGCATGAAGTAAGCAGCCAAAATACACCTTCACAAAATCATTCAATAACGAGTCACAAGTTCGGACTTTGGAGCGAAATTTCGCTGTCACTTATTCTGGCATTTGCTGCACCTCCATCATCCCCCACCGCAATCCCGCTCGATTGCGGAAAAGCAAAGATGTCAGGCACAACGCCGGCGGAACTGACAGAAGCCTTCGGCTTGGGTCAGCTGATTTATTCGAAACCGTCGATCTGCGTGCTTTGAACCAATCCCAAGGTCCACGAGCGTCTGAAACTGCATGCGATCAGACCGTCACCTGCAAAACTGCACCAGAACGGACTTCCGTGAATCTGTACCTGGTTTCCCGTCAACGATAACTCACATAACACCACACCAGAAGTCCGTCAATCCTACCGACTAAAATTTAATGGTTTTCGCTTTCCTAACCAGACCCGAGACCACCAAGTACATAAGAAAGGACTCAGTAAACCACCTTCACCAACAGCGGCACAGAAGCCTAACCTGAAGCAGGTTCTGCATTCGTTCTTGTCTTTTGGTTAGCAGCGTTCTCATTATTAGTATTTCACAGCACGAACCATCTGAATTCCTCTCGTTCAGAGCCGAGATAGCCATGTCGTTTGCAGGATCTATTTGGATTCCATGGATCCCACAACCTGATGACGAGCCTGAAGAGGCGTGTCAAGGATTCGGGATCAACCAAGTGCCTAATTTAGAGCCAGCGTCTCCTCAGAGGACAAGATCTACAGCATTTACAACACTTTCGTCCACTCCAGAGCATTTTCCAGTTTTCACGAACAGGAAGCTTGGTCGTTCCGCTTCTCCTTTCCGAAGTGAAGCACTGAAGCGAGTGAAGCGCGATGTGAAAAGCGAACCACGCGCAACCAACGGTACGTGCCAACAGCTATTGAGTTCTGATCGTGAATGATTAAATATTACTGATTCTCGTCCTCTTAATGTCTTTCAGGTGTTTACGACAGTTATACGTCTTATTCGACGCCACCAGCTCTACAACGCGGAAGTCCCACATGTCCAGCAGCACCTTACAAGGCACGGACACGGAGCATCTTGAAGCTGACCCAGACATCGTCGATTGACCTGAGCATACAGCATCGGTGGTAGCACCTACCTTCCACCAGCAGATCTCAAACGCGAGAACCGGGTACATATGGCTCCTCGGCAACATTTTTTCGTACTTACCACTATCAACACCTCTCCTTTTCGGGTTGGGTTCAGGGAGAACATATCAGCACGCTTTGTACTGTTGCTGATTGGTGCAGCAGAAGCTGCTCACATGTGTAAGATACTTGACACGGCTGGGGAATTCAGTGATCACTGAGTTCGTATGGTGTTGCTATCCCTGTTGTTTCTAACAAATCCTCCCTGCTGCTGCTGCCACTAGTCATGGATATTACGGTTTGCTTCAAAAAGGAATATTCTGTTACTTCGACATTTACAGCATTTACACTACGCTTGCCACAAATCGCCTACAACGTAATAGCTAACTAACAACTAGCCTAATATGAATCCGAGTAGGATCATGCTGGAAAAAAAAAAAGCGAAAATGCAGTTTTCCTCAAAAAGCGATTCTTTGCTCATTATCAGCTGACCCCACTTGAGAGAGCTTGAGAGTAGTCTCTTCGGGATTCACGGCAGCAGCAGCGTCAGCAACTTGGTTGGCCTTTTCAGCTGCTTTTGAAAGGATCGATTCAGTCATGTCAGCTTCCCCTAGAGCCATTTCAGCTGCCTCAGCCGCCGTGTCTTCTACCTGAGCACCTGAATCATCAACTTCTAAATCATCACCCTCACCACGAATGAAGATTTCACTGTTGGGGGTTTCAGTAATTCTGCTGCTGCTGCTGCTGCTGCTGCTGCCGCTGCTGCTGTCACTATCAGCATCGCTGTTGCTCCCAGTGCTTCTGCTATCTACGCTGTCGATCCTGGTGGTCTTCTTAGGGAAGAGCGAGAATTGAGTGAATTTGCAGTCAGGAGCGAGGAGGGAGGACGTGACGTAATCTTCTGGTACTCCCTCAAGCTCCCCTTCGGAAGAAGCTTCGGAGGAAGGAACCAATGGCATGGCCATTAGGTGTGACAGAATGGAGTAGTTTAGGGTGGGTTCTGACGTGGCGTTGGCTCGGTAGAACTGACCCAAGAGCCCATGCACTGTAGGAGAGTACGCTACATCGAGGATAGCCAGGTTGATGTGCGCCTCAGCGTCATCAGGTTCTTGCAACAGAGGGTGCACCCGGCGAACGCGAACCTCCGCTTCAATCACACCCGGTACTGTTAGCGCGTACACATCCACGTCGTACGGGCCTTGCTTCTCGTACGCTGCTAGGAGAATCGTCGCTGCGCCGTCAAATAACGAGAGCTCGTCTCCCAACTGCTCAATAGTGGCGGTCGCCATGCACGAGAGAGAGGAAAAGTGGAAAACGGAAAAAAGAGTTGAGTGAGGGAAGGAAGGGCAAATAGACACGACGGAAATGGCGCGGCGAAGGAACGAATCAGCGGATAGAATAGAGAAGAGAGTAGTCCGACACACTATCATCCTGCCATACCCGGAATTTCTAGTGAGAGATAACTAGAGGGTTGTAACATAGGAATTCTTGCACTCACCACTAGCTTCGGCATAGGATGCCCGTCCACATCAACAGTCGCAACGTATCCATCTCCCCGCTCCTGCTGCGCTGTCCTTCTAGCAGCCATTCGCAGCACGTGCTGAGCTTGTTTTGGCCCCCCTCGCCCCCACATTAGCGACACTTCGCGAATCCACGCGCGAACAACGGCCGGTCGCTGAGTCCGCGAGTTACCACCAAATGAGGACGGGGTCGAAGCGGTGGCGCCGCGGTTATCCATGTAGCCTGACAGTTGCATGTTGATGTGAAACGACGGGTCGCTTATCAGACAGAACGCGCGGTCCGACAATTTCTCGTGAGCTACTGGTCTGGTGGGAGCCGCGCCGATTTTGGAGTGGTAGAGCGCGGGTCCCACGGCCCATTTGACGGCACTTACGCCGTCATCTGCGGCGGCACTTGCGGCGGTGGTGGCGAGTTTGGCTTCAGAATTGCAACGACCACCCACACTGGACAAGGTGTAGCACGGGAAAGCGAAAAGATACCGCAGATTTAGGTCATTGACCGGAGGATGAGGTTAGGAGGATGAGGTTAGGAAGATGACGTTAGGAGCATGAGGTTAGGAGGATGAGGTGAGGAGGATGAGGTGAGGAGGATGAGGTTAGAAGGATGAGGTTAGAAGGATGAGGTTAGAAGGATGAGGTTAGGAGAATGAGGTAAGGAGGATGAGGTTGGCAGAAGAAGGAAGCGCCAGGGAGGAAGGGATGAGCGAAAAAATCATAATGTCTTCTTCAAGACGAGAAAATGAATGACAAACGTGAATCTGGCATAGATGTGTCGGCAACTACAGGAGCGTATACTCACTATGAGTTGGGTAAGCCGGGAACGTAGACATGCGCGTCCCCGCTACAAGCTCCTTCGGTAAAGAGAAGGCAGAGACCAGAGGGCAGGAGAAGGTTCCAGTACGCGCAGTCGCCGTTACTCCGGCATTGTTGGCAACAGTCGCCCGGAGTTGCGTTGGGGCCGAGATTCACGCCGTTAGGTGCGGCGGCGAGGCGATACTGCTTCGTGCCTTGCACGGTGAACTTTCCCTTGTAGACGTATCGTCCGCACGTGTCTTGCGTGCATGCTGATCGCTCGGTCGCGAAATTGGGGCAATTGTTAGCGAGGAGGACAGGAAGTGTGGTCAATAAGGCGATGAGGGAGAGAGAGCAGGTAGACAGGGCAAATCGTTTTCTATCCATGGTGAATTGCGTTGTGATCCTGCCAGCAGGCATTTGTATTTCCACTTGTTCTGAATAATGCTTGCAAAGGAGATCCTAACCGAGGTACTCTTTTGTACTTGTCACCCGATTTGGCGCTAAATCAGTCTCACGTAGAAGTGCCTGGTTGTTGACATATATGGATTGCTTGTTCAGACAATGGCGTCAATGCTGGGGTGTTGTTGATGATCAATTGTGGGTGTTGGTCCCATCATTTGCTTTTGCAGTAAGTGCTCTCATGAGCATGGGGTGCCTACCCGCCACCCGCTGTTTTTCGAGTGCATTGGTGGGGTGGTGAGGTCAGGCTAAGTTTTTTCGCATTTGGCTCTGAAATTTGCGAGCCCCGAGTCGCATGCAGGGCTGACAAGTTATGCGCTTCGGAAAGGCTGTTTTTGCGCATTGTGGGTGGAGGGGGATTTGGAATTTGTCATTTGAGGCTGCCGACTGCTGCGAAAAAAATGTCAGCAATAGCGAAGCGAGCGACGAGAGATGATGGAATGCTTGCTCAAGCAACGGCTACTTCTCCGCGAGGCTCACGAAAAGTGTATAGTTTTGGCTCGCACAGCAAGACAAATCACTTTGGGCGCGTTACCATCAGATGTCTGGGTGAAGAAATCCGAGGTGTGGGCCGAGCCAAAACTACTGGATGTACTCGCTAAAGTGCTCTGCATTAAAAACAACCGCTTTGTAAGGATATATTATTCACAAACCATTGTGCAACAAAGACTTTGGTGCGCTGGCAAGACGGGCACGACCAGATGGACTTTCACTGCCTGTGCACAGTGACGATACATGCCCCACACAGCAGGTTCCCTCCCTGACCAACAAGGCATCGGCTTCGAACGAGCTTTCGATCGGTGAGGCAGAGATCCATGCACACACGCAGACCGTCAGATGCTACCTGTGGTTGCCACACCACCGGATGATTTCCGATTGCCCAGGCATCAAAACCCTCTGTCTGTCTCCGGGCACGTCGAGCAGATCGGGGAAGCTCCGCCATTTTTCCGCCCATAGGGATACACTCTCCGCTCCCCGCTATTTTTTCCCTCGTCGTCCGCCATCCTTCCTCCCAAGCCCCCTTTCCCGCCACCTCCCCCCAACGTCTGCTGCTTTGCAAGGCAATGTCACATCAGGTGGATTGGCAGAAACAGTTTTCGAGGATATAGGAGTCACCGAGGGAAGTGAGTTGGGCTAGGGTTTCGTTTTTGAAATACGGACAACATTTTTTCTTACAGCTGGTTCGTTTTGTTGGGCGAAGAGGCGAAAGGCGTTTTTTCGAGTAGTGGGCCTGACAGGCCCAAGCGTTGGCGAGTAAAGCTCTCACAGCTTGTTACCTTCACCGTTTCAGGGCGATATGTATCGTTGCGCTTAGCTTCTACCTCCTCTTCATATTAGAGGAGGATGGTATCTCGTGGGAAAATGAAGATGGCATAACGGTCATTTGTGGGGTGCTGGTGCTGTGTGCACGCAGCGTGTTGTTGCAGCTGCTGGCGAGGCGTCTTACCATGGCTGCAATGGCGGCTGGTTCTACGGGTCTCTCGTGTTGCATGCAGCGGTTGTCTGTGGGAGGAGTTTCGTTGTCGTCGGAAGGGGCTGGTGGTATCAATTCGTCGAAGTCGCGGAAAATTGCATTTCCTAACGCTCCGTGCCTCCAAGCTTTCGTGGCGAAATCCATTCGGGTTCACCTCTCCCGCCGTAAGGAGGGAGAGGCAGCCACGATGGGTCTTCGCGCGTCAGCCATGAGAAAAGGGGCGCAAGGGAGTGCAAGTGTATCATACAGCAATGAAGGCGGAATCAATGGAACAAATGGAATCAGGAATTCCGGCAGCAATTTCTGGGGTAACATCTGGCAGGCTCGGGCTTTTCTGTGCTCCTCATTGAACGGCAAAACCGCCTTGGAGTCCTGTGGGCCTGTTCGGGCTTCTGAGGCGGTTTCGCTGTCCAGCGAAGTCCGAAATTCCGACAGCCAGGTTACCAACAGCCTTGACTTCGCAGGCTTGAAGGAGTCGGCGAAGAATTCGGTTACCGCTCGGCAGTTTATGTGGTTACCCGAGTGGCTTCCGCTGTCGGCGGAGGAGGCCAAAGCGGTGTTGGCGACGTTTGCGATGTCCCTGATCTTTCGCTTCGTCGCCGAGCTGCGGTTCATTCCGTCGCTCTCCATGTACCCCACGCTTGACGTGGGGGACCGAATCGTCGCAGAAAAGGTAAGCCAATGTGTTTTGATGTTTTCAAAGATATCGTGCAATTCGTGTTCAGGGGTTAAATTGTACAGCGATTAATCTGGCATCGACTCCCCTTCCCCCATCAATGAGCAGGTTTCATACTATTTCAGGAAGCCTGAGGTCGATGATGTGGTCATCTTCAAGGCGCCCAAGGCCCTGAAGGTACAGCAGCGCTCACTGACTCCGCTTTTTTTCAAATTTGTTTTCTCTTTAGCATGTCTCATTGGTGCTCGTCCTCCCTGTGGCTCACCTTGTCTGAAACTGGCACCTTCGGTTTGTGTGCATTTGTGGCGTTGATAACTCGCAGAAGCATGGCTACAGTGAGGGAGAGGTTTTTGTGAAACGCATTGTTGCCACTGAAGGTGACTTGGTGGAGGTGAAGGGCGGGCGGCTGTTCGTGAATGGCGTTGAGAAGGACGAGGATTACATATTGGAACAGCCTACCTACAACATGGAGACCCAGGTACCTCTGCCAACAGTTGCTTTTGGGATTGTTTCTGGACTTGCCTTGGTGCTTGTTTTATCTGCTCCGATTCTTGCTAGAATTGTGATTCGTCCGCTCACCTTTATTATCACCTTCCCTGCGCATTACATTCCATCTGGCCATGTCTTCGTCATGGGCGACAATCGTAACAACAGCCTTGATTCTCACACATGGTATGTCCGTTCGTAATGTGGAATTGCCTTGCGTGGTATGCATGGCTCTGATAGCTGCAGCTTGCACTGGCATTTATTTGTGGTGGTAACTTGACGCTGGCTCTGATGTTGTGTTGCAGGGGGCCTTTGGCTGTGAAGAACATTGTTGCTAGGTCTGTCTTCATTTACTGAATGAGTTCGATGCAAGGGGATGGGAACGCTAGTTAATATATTATGTAAATATTTGCATGTGTCGGCAACATTGATTCAGCAGCATGCAAGAATGTTGTTGAATAAGGGCCACATGAAGCTTCTGCAAGTAATGTTTGATGATTGCTTTTACAGAGTGCGCTTAGCTATGAGAAGCTGCATTGCACCTCTTGGAGTCACACAGCAGGACAATTATATGCGGAAGGAGCTCTAGTGACAATGACAAATGTCGTACCATAGAATATCGTGGTACTTTAAACGTGTACTGTAGTAACGAATCATGCTGGTTGTGGTATGTTACGCTTGTGCCTCATCCTGTTCTGGTGGCCACGTCATTCCACTTTTTCGTGGCCAAACGACAATTCAGGTGGTGCAATCCCTTCGACCGAGGAGAAAGCTGACACTGCAACGCCGCCAATTGGTTGTTAGACCTCGAGCTTCGCGATTCAGTTGTCGGGGTCGTTCCATTGGACCACGTCGGTGTTCACGACCTCTCTTCAGAGAGTCGTAGGCGGCGCCAGCTGGGCCCGTGCGACCAGTGATCAGAAACTCGCTTGCGTGTCGTGCCGCGTAATCGAGTCGTCCTCCCGCAGAACTCCCAATGGCCTCGTGCGACTGGTGGATCCATTTCCCAAGGTCTTCGCATACCTCGAAACATCTGTGTCGCTATCCTCGGTTTGGGATAGCGACGCTATCCTATTTGTCGCTCACCTCGGTTTTCCCGCACCTGCACGTCGCACACATCGCTCCAAGTTCGCAGTGTCACTCACCTTGCGACTCGATATTTCAAGGTTTCCCCTACTCACACACACCCATCCAGCCCAAGGGTCCACTCCACTGATGAAAGTGGTTTCATGTGATTCAAGCTTGTTTTTTCCGGAAACCGTTTTTTTAACATAAAAAGCGGTTGGGTAGGGTTTTTCAGGAGTCCAATTCCATCATCATCCCAATTCTGTCATCAACCCACGCTCATACCTTCCTGCCTGTCAACCCCCAGGTCCTACAAAATCTCTCCCAAGCTTCTTCAAACTCTTTTTTTGCGGAGTCTCGGTAATCTCCTACAGGTTTTCCTCCTTGGGATTTGTAGGAAGTGTCTTGCCTGCCGCTTACCTGCTCATAGTGCGTAAGACGTCGAAGCAGCGTCCAGTGATTTCGACAGAAGCAGCGCGGCCATTCTCACGGCCGACTCGTCTCCTCCTAGCTTCTCAACTTCCAACTTCACGAAGCGTTTCCAGTTTCCGGCTTCGCGTGCCCTCTCATTCCTTAGCTGGCATTTGACTGGGAGCAAGTGCTAACTTATATGGGCAAGCGAGGGTCTGTCTGAAACTAGGCTTTCGCAGAACGTGCTTCGTGGGGGTGGCTCGCAGCTTGAAGCTTCATCCTTGATATAAGCCTGGAGGAGGCTGCTTACGTCCATCGCGACGCTATTCGTCTGCCCGGCTGACGTCATTCGCACCGAGTGTAGGCCGATACCAGCTGCATTTGTAATTTCTGGGGGAAACGCGAGATTGACAGCATGGCGTCAACGATAAGCCGCACACTCAACGGATGCGCAGTCGCTCAATCTGCCACGCCATTCTCTGCCACGTCACGTTCTGCCACGTCAGCCTCCGCTGACGGCAGAGCGTACAGCTGCTCGTGCCAGCAGCTCGTGCGACGTGCGAGAAACGCTGCCGCTTCACAAGTCGGAATCTCTTCTCTTAAGCGAGGAAACATCGGCTCTTCTCTTCTCCTAAGCGGCACGTCGCTTGGCCACAGCTCCTCGTCGCGGCGATACGTTTCGCGAAGACATCTCGCGGTTACCACTACAGCGACCAGCCCTGAAACTGTAACTGTTACAGCTGTCGACTCCGCCACCACCACCGAGGGAAATGCTTCTGACTCTTCTGCGGATGCTTCCGCTTCCCCGCTTTCTTCCGCTTCCCCAGAGCCCCCGCAGCTCTCCAAGCCCGTTCTCGTGCGCCCCGCGCCAGCGCAGCCGCCCGCAAGGCCCGCCGCGCCCGCCGCCGGCGCACGCGGTGGAGCGAGGTCGTGGGCCCCGAGGCCCGGAGTAGCGAGTGCCCGACCGAACGGGGGTGTTGCCGCAAGCGGGAAGAGTGTTTTTAGGCCAAGGGACCGCGCCGCGCGCGCCCCGGGTCCGGACAGCGCGGGTGTGGCGGCAGTGCAGAATCTAAAGGAGATTTTGGAGAAGGCGGAGCGGATGGGAAATGGCGGAATGACGGGGGGAGCGGACGGCAGTCTCGCGCTGAATGGATCATCCGCGGGAGCAGCGGAGAGCGCGCTGGAAGGGGACGGCGGTTCGGGTTCTGACGTGGAAGAGATTGTGCTCGTGCGCAAGGAGACGCCTAATGGGGCAGCTAGTAACGCATCAGAGGATTCTGAGTCGAGCGCCAGCGCGGCTCCGCCAAGCGCGGATTTCGAAGATCCCGAGCCTCCAACGGTGGTTCGGCCCAAGCCGGTCAGGGTAGACAGGCCGAAGCTTGATCGACCTGTGGCCTCGTTCAGCCGCCCCACCCCGCCTGCGCAGCCGGCTCCGGCGCGGCCGGGCGTATACGTGCGCGGTCAAGCGCCCGCCGCCAGCGCAGACGGAACGAGCGCAAGGGAGAAGCTGGCGTGGAAGCCCAAGGGTTCCGCCGACGCCTCGGCTTCCGACGATGAGCGCGCTTCCGCCGCGGGCGCGTCAGGAGCTCCGCGCAGAGGCCCCATTCTGCGCGATGCTGGGCGCAGGGCGCAGCCTGCCGCGGAGGGTAGGGCCGGCGCAAGCGCACCCGGCGGAGCTCCTACCCCCGGACCTTTCGGGGGTCCGGACAAGGCTCCGGCAAGAGGCGGGCGGAAAGACACGCGGAGGAGAGGCGGGGAAGGCGACCGCGACGGGGCCGGACGGGGGAGGCGCGGGGGAAGAGGCTCAACGGTGGCGGAGCAGGCGCGGGGGAACCGGAAGCAGAGCAAGGCGTCGCGCAGAGCTGCGCGCGAGGAGGCTAAGAAGGCCGCTGCGCCCGTGCAGGCGGAGATTCTGGAAGTGGGGAAGGAGGGCATGAGCGTGCAGGAGCTGGCGCGCGAGCTGGCAGTTAACGACTCGGACGTCGTCAAGGCTCTCTTCATGAAGGTGAGGGGGTTGAGGGATGGAGGTGGGAAAGGAGGGCATGAGCGTGTAGGAGGTCGCGCGGGAGTTGGCGGTTAACGATTCCGACGTCGTCAAGGCTCTCTTCATGAAGGTGCGACTACAAGGAGAGGGGTTCAGTGATAGGGTTTGGGTGATGGAAGCAGAGCATGAGAGGATGAGATGGGATGAGAGAGCATGAGAGGATGAGATGGGATGAGAGAGCATGAGAGGATGAGATGGGATGAGAGAGCATGAGAGGATGAGATGGGATGAGAGAGCATGAGAGGATGAGATGGGATGAGAGAGCATGAGAGGATGAGATGGGATGAGAGAGCATGAGAGGATGAGATGGGATGAGAGAGCATGAGAGGATGAGATGGGATGAGAGAGCATGAGAGGATGAGATGGGATGAGAGAGCATGAGAGGATGAGATGGGATGAGAGAGCATGAGAGGATGAGATGGGATGAGAGAGCATGAGAGGATGAGATGGGATGAGAGAGCATGAGAGGATGAGATGGGATGAGAGAGCATGAGAGGATGAGATGGGATGAGAGAGCATGAGAGGATGAGATGGGATGAGAGAGCATGAGAGGATGAGATGGGATGAGAGAGCATGAGAGGATGAGATGGGATGAGAGAGCATGAGAGGATGAGATGGGATGAGAGAGCATGAGAGGATGAGATGGGATGAGAGAGCATGAGAGGATGAGATGGGATGAGAGAGCATGAGAGGATGAGATGGGATGAGAGAGCATGAGAGGATGAGATGGGATGAGAGAGCATGAGAGGATGAGATGGGATGAGAGAGCATGAGAGGATGAGATGGGATGAGAGAGCATGAGAGGATGAGATGGGATGAGAGAGCATGAGAGGATGAGATGGGATGAGAGAGCATGAGAGGATGAGATGGGATGAGAGAGCATGAGAGGATGAGATGGGATGAGAGAGCATGAGAGGATGAGATGGGATGAGAGAGCATGAGAGGATGAGATGGGATGAGAGAGCATGAGAGGATGAGATGGGATGAGAGAGCATGAGAGGATGAGATGGGATGAGAGAGCATGAGAGGATGAGATGGGATGAGAGAGCATGAGAGGATGAGATGGGATGAGAGAGCATGAGAGGATGAGATGGGATGAGAGAGCATGAGAGGATGAGATGGGATGAGAGAGCATGAGAGGATGAGATGGGATGAGAGAGCATGAGAGGATGAGATGGGATGAGAGAGCATGAGAGGATGAGATGGGATGAGAGAGCATGAGAGGATGAGATGGGATGAGAGAGCATGAGAGGATGAGATGGGATGAGAGAGCATGAGAGGATGAGATGGGATGAGAGAGCATGAGAGGATGAGATGGGATGAGAGAGCATGAGAGGATGAGATGGGATGAGAGAGCATGAGAGGATGAGATGGGATGAGAGAGCATGAGAGGATGAGATGGGATGAGAGAGCATGAGAGGATGAGATGGGATGAGAGAGCATGAGAGGATGAGATGGGATGAGAGAGCATGAGAGGATGAGATGGGATGAGAGAGCATGAGAGGATGAGATGGGATGAGAGAGCATGAGAGGATGAGATGGGATGAGAGAGCATGAGAGGATGAGATGGGATGAGAGAGCATGAGAGGATGAGATGGGATGAGAGAGCATGAGAGGATGAGATGGGATGAGAGAGCATGAGAGGATGAGATGGGATGAGAGAGCATGAGAGGATGAGATGGGATGAGAGAGCATGAGAGGATGAGATGGGATGAGAGAGCATGAGAGGATGAGATGGGATGAGAGAGCATGAGAGGATGAGATGGGATGAGAGAGCATGAGAGGATGAGATGGGATGAGAGAGCATGAGAGGATGAGATGGGATGAGAGAGCATGAGAGGATGAGATGGGATGAGAGAGCATGAGAGGATGAGATGGGATGAGAGAGCATGAGAGGATGAGATGAGGAGATGATGAGAGAGCATGAGAGGATGAGATGGGATGAGAGAGCATGAGAGGATGAGATGGGATGAGAGAGCATGAGAGGATGAGATGGGATGAGAGAGCATGAGAGGATGAGATGGGATGAGAGAGCATGAGAGGATGAGATGGATGAGAGAGCATGAGAGGATGAGATGGGATGAGAGAGCATGAGAGGATGAGATGGGATGAGAGAGCATGAGAGGATGAGATGGGATGAGAGAGCATGAGAGGATGAGATGGGATGAGAGAGCATGAGAGGATGAGATGGGATGAGAGAGCATGAGAGGATGAGATGGGATGAGAGAGCATGAGAGGATGAGATGGGATGAGAGAGCATGAGAGGATGAGATGGGATGAGAGAGCATGAGAGGATGAGATGGGATGAGAGAGCATGAGAGGATGAGATGGGATGAGAGAGCATGAGAGGATGAGATGGATGAGAGAGCATGAGAGGATGAGATGGGATGAGAGAGCATGAGAGGATGAGATGGGATGAGAGAGCATGAGAGGATGAGATGGGATGAGAGAGCATGAGAGGATGAGATGGGATGAGAGAGCATGAGAGGATGAGATGGGATGAGAGAGCATGAGAGGATGAGATGGGATGAGAGAGCATGAGAGGATGAGATGGGATGAGAGAGCATGAGAGGATGAGATGGGATGAGAGAGCATGAGAGGATGAGATGGGATGAGAGAGCATGAGAGGATGAGATGGGATGAGAGAGCATGAGAGGATGAGATGGGATGAGAGAGCATGAGAGGATGAGATGGGATGAGAGAGCATGAGAGGATGAGATGGGATGAGAGAGCATGAGAGGATGAGATGGGATGAGAGAGCATGAGAGGATGAGATGGGATGAGAGAGCATGAGAGGATGAGATGGGATGAGAGAGCATGAGAGGATGAGATGGGATGAGAGAGCATGAGAGGATGAGATGGGATGAGAGAGCATGAGAGGATGAGATGGGATGAGAGAGCATGAGAGGATGAGATGGGATGAGAGAGCATGAGAGGATGAGATGGGATGAGAGAGCATGAGAGGATGAGATGGGATGAGAGAGCATGAGAGGATGAGATGGGATGAGAGAGCATGAGAGGATGAGATGGGATGAGAGAGCATGAGAGGATGAGATGGGATGAGAGAGCATGAGAGGATGAGATGGGATGAGAGAGCATGAGAGGATGAGATGGGATGAGAGAGCATGAGAGGATGAGATGGGATGAGAGAGCATGAGAGGATGAGATGGGATGAGAGAGCATGAGAGGATGAGATGGGATGAGAGAGCATGAGAGGATGAGATGGGATGAGAGAGCATGAGAGGATGAGATGGGATGAGAGAGCATGAGAGGATGAGATGGGATGAGAGAGCATGAGAGGATGAGATGGGATGAGAGAGCATGAGAGGATGAGATGGGATGAGAGAGCATGAGAGGATGAGATGGGATGAGAGAGCATGAGAGGATGAGATGGGATGAGAGAGCATGAGAGGATGAGATGGGATGAGAGAGCATGAGAGGATGAGATGGGATGAGAGAGCATGAGAGGATGAGATGGGATGAGAGAGCATGAGAGGATGAGATGGGATGAGAGAGCATGAGAGGATGAGATGGGATGAGAGAGCATGAGAGGATGAGATGGGATGAGAGAGCATGAGAGGATGAGATGGGATGAGAGAGCATGAGAGGATGAGATGGGATGAGAGAGCATGAGAGGATGAGATGGGATGAGAGAGCATGAGAGGATGAGATGGGATGAGAGAGCATGAGAGGATGAGATGGGATGAGAGAGCATGAGAGGATGAGATGGGATGAGAGAGCATGAGAGGATGAGATGGGATGAGAGAGCATGAGAGGATGAGATGGGATGAGAGAGCATGAGAGGATGAGATGGGATGAGAGAGCATGAGAGGATGAGATGGGATGAGAGAGCATGAGAGGATGAGATGGGATGAGAGAGCATGAGAGGATGAGATGGGATGAGAGAGCATGAGAGGATGAGATGGGATGAGAGAGCATGAGAGGATGAGATGGGATGAGAGAGCATGAGAGGATGAGATGGGATGAGAGAGCATGAGAGGATGAGATGGGATGAGAGAGCATGAGAGGATGAGATGGGATGAGAGAGCATGAGAGGATGAGATGGGATGAGAGAGCATGAGAGGATGAGATGGGATGAGAGAGCATGAGAGGATGAGATGGGATGAGAGAGCATGAGAGGATGAGATGGGATGAGAGAGCATGAGAGGATGAGATGGGATGAGAGAGCATGAGAGGATGAGATGGGATGAGAGAGCATGAGAGGATGAGATGGGATGAGAGAGCATGAGAGGATGAGATGGGATGAGAGAGCATGAGAGGATGAGATGGGATGAGAGAGCATGAGAGGATGAGATGGGATGAGAGAGCATGAGAGGATGAGATGGGATGAGAGAGCATGAGAGGATGAGATGGGATGAGAGAGCATGAGAGGATGAGATGGGATGAGAGAGCATGAGAGGATGAGATGGGATGAGAGAGCATGAGAGGATGAGATGGGATGAGAGAGCATGAGAGGATGAGATGGGATGAGAGAGCATGAGAGGATGAGATGGGATGAGAGAGCATGAGAGGATGAGATGGGATGAGAGAGCATGAGAGGATGAGATGGGATGAGAGAGCATGAGAGGATGAGATGGGATGAGAGAGCATGAGAGGATGAGATGGGATGAGAGAGCATGAGAGGATGAGATGGGATGAGAGAGCATGAGAGGATGAGATGGGATGAGAGAGCATGAGAGGATGAGATGGGATGAGAGAGCATGAGAGGATGAGATGGGATGAGAGAGCATGAGAGGATGAGATGGGATGAGAGAGCATGAGAGGATGAGATGGGATGAGAGAGCATGAGAGGATGAGATGGGATGAGAGAGCATGAGAGGATGAGATGGGATGAGAGAGCATGAGAGGATGAGATGGGATGAGAGAGCATGAGAGGATGAGATGGGATGAGAGAGCATGAGAGGATGAGATGGGATGAGAGAGCATGAGAGGATGAGATGGGATGAGAGAGCATGAGAGGATGAGATGGGATGAGAGAGCATGAGAGGATGAGATGGGATGAGAGAGCATGAGAG